ATTATCCATATTTATTTCAAATTCAAGTCTAAATTACTCACTTTACAGTCAGTTGGCTCAAATCAAATCCTATACTCATATCTAAAGTACAGTACTGTGCTATATCCGATATGATCCTAACACTCTATACAGCCACGCCAAGTAATTGAAAACATAACATCTCAAAGTGAATCATGTCCAGTCATTGGCACCAATTGTGCTGAGTATATATGACATATACACGCGTACTCGTAATGCTTCTAAAAAAATGCAAGGAAAAAGGCAAAATTCCATTTTATGTGAAATGAAATTCACAAAAAGAATGCAAGCCATATTCCTGCTGCACTGTAGTTTTGCCAATGAGTTTGATCACTTGCAGTAAGTTCAAGGTAGGTAGCTGTTGGTGGATCCGTTATTGTACTGTACTATTGCACCATCACTATGACGCCATTATCGTCACGGTCAACTACCGTAATACGCATGGTAACGATGGCGAACACTTACCACTGAAGCACCGGCCAACGGAAACACGTGATAGTATGCTGCTATGGAGGGAAAGTTTACTGTCATCATAATTGCAACGACCAGAGCTCCAATCGATAAAAATGAGAATGACTTTCATATAGCCAGCAATACGTTTGCGGAATTGCTCATTCAGTGAAACGTCTTGATCAGCCATTTTTGTCCAATCGCGTCGGAGAAATTCGAGAGAAAAGGTGTCTTCCAAGTTGCGCGCTGCGGGAGCAACCGGAAATGACGCTTCTCGTGCTTATTTATAACCGCTTCCAGTACTGTACAGTACAGGGTACAGGCTGGTTGCACTGTACAGTGTACAGTACACTGTAACAATTCAACACAATGAATCAATTCATTCTGTTAAAAATTGTCAATTACCTTCTGCCAGGCATATTGGTTCTGCGGTGTTACAGAAGCACAGTTTCATCAACGTACTGTACACTATACACTGTACAGTACTGTACTGTACTGTACTGTACAGTATGGGGAACTACAGTACAATACAGTAGCAGGGCCTGCAGTACTGTACACTATACACTGTAGACTACAGTACAGTACAGTCTGTACAGTACTGTACTGTACTGTACTGTACAGTGTATGTAAAAAAAAAAACAGTGCAAAATCGCTGAGTTACAGTGTAAACCACCTCGATCGTACTGTAACTCCATTTCATAAAGTACCATGACGTAATCCAGATGTACAGTATAATAAGGTTCAATGACGTATTCGGAGATCTCGTGATTTTAGGCGGTTCCCCCAAAGCCGATTCACAAGAAATGACTGTTAGCATAATCACCGTAGCCGAAAATTCAAGATTTTAAGGCGATTGACCGATGAACCTGCACTACCAGTCTTCCACTTTAGCAGCATATTGTAAAGATTGCGATGTTGGCCAAAGGGTAACACCAAAACCTGGCAAAGTACCATTACAACAATTACCGATTATTATTATCGGATAGCTGTTTCCAAGGCTTGCCATGAGTATTATCGGGGCCGTTGCTACGTTCGCCTTTTGAAAGAGAATATACACTCACTGTAATAAACTATTGGTTATTCCGAGTAACAGTTCCTTATTTTACTCATATTTTGCAATGGACCTTTATTCCTATGGTTACGTGAGCCAATTACTACCATGCAATATCGAAAATGGGCGCAAAACGGAAATGCTGATGCTTGGTCTAGATTATTGTACGATCATTAGTAATAGCCAGTGATTTAAATGTTATTATTGTGATGTGTCATTGTTATACGTATAATAATGAATCGTACAATTCTAAAGATTTGTAGATAGAATTTCCTAAAATTATATATGAATTAATGCTATCAAATTCTAGATGCCTGGGGTGAATGTAGTGCCGTGAGTTTCGTACTTCAGTTAAATTCTTAATTAAGTATAGAATTACGAATATCCACTACCGTAGACTATAATACTTGCGTACTTTCATGCGATTAGTTATTGCTCGTGTCCCGGTAAAATATGTTCTTTCAATGTCCGTGCTTAACGCTTGGAAGCGTGATAACGTTACTACTATTACCAAATAGGTCATGCACTACGATCTATAAGCGTATGCAACGAGTAGATCGAGAGTTCTTCTTGTTCATAGTTTGTTGTAATTACAGTTACGGCTGGTTTTTATTGTAATAAAGCTCAATTCGGCTTTTAATCCAGTTAGACTGATTTATTGTGGGCCCTTAAAAATCGACTTACTACACCTGCTGTGTATATAGCAATAGATTCATTCACCCGACTCAATTTGTATGGTATTATAAAGTAGTTTTAAAAGAGGTAAGATTTGTTGTTATCTAAGCAACTATTGTTGATAATTGTGATCATTGGGTATCCGTGTTTTGCAACGAAAGCAAAATACTGTAGGGTCCGATATTGATCACCTCTCCACTTACACAGGAATAACAATATCATTCATGTATTTCTTTACTACGAATTATACACTACAGCATAATGACAGGTTATAGTATACATGATGATGAGCATGTATACGAGTGATGTAAACTACAAATTTTCTGTTAAGAAAATATCTAAAGTAATATATTTGTAACAATAGCCTCTACATTAGTAAATTATGTACAGCTTAAAATACGATCTTGCCATCATTCATTTTCAGTCCAATAAAATAGCTATTCTCGTAATGAGCAAGCCGGTGATCATCATACAGCTAAATTGAACTTTCCGGTAATTCTTGTAATTCTTCTCTCAATGTAAATTTACCCAATTTGATACTAGTATATCGTCACTAACAAAATGTATATACACATGCGACAAAGGTATATCGCAGATATTTCTGGGTCTCTTTCTATCTCCAACTACTGATCTTGATCACTGTAGTTCTCCGTGACAACTAGAAACTTCTTCCTTAAGTTTCACAGAAGAAACGATATATGTAGATCGACTCGACACACGTAAACGGTAAAATAATGAACTCTCTTTATTATAAAAGTACTCGTTTTTATACCTTGTATCTATATTTGTGAGCGGCTACACAGTTTATACTAGAAGTTAATACTAACTAACGATATTGCTGTAGTATATTATTAGACCTAAATCTGTATAGCTTTGGATTCTACTGTAAAATACTTTACAGCACGCATATAACACGAGATCAGTTCTGATCAGAATACGATCTGGCCGTCGAGGTCTGTTATAGATTAGGTATCTAACTAATTAGTTCACTTGTCCTTACTGGAAAATGAATTAGTTTTATAACCTATAACCATAACGGCAAGTTATCTACTGCAAAACAATCAATACAACGTATTTACTGTATACTATACGGTGATCTTTAACAAAGTGACGTATATCTACTCTACGTGTGCTTCGCCTCTTTTAACGATCAGCAACTTCGCAACTTTTACTTCGACAGAAGCAGCCACCGATGAAAGATTAATCGCTATTTCGCTTTATCTCCTCAGTATCTATAGATACTTCAGTAAGTGTAGTCTTAATACACAATATCACTGCTAAACTTTTCGCAAGTAATTTTGATCTGAGATCAAGTAAACCTTTACACTTATGTAATAATAAGAACCTATTGCTTGTTATTGTATTGAACATATGAATCGTAGAAGAGCCAATTGCTGCATGCTTACTGACAAATTCACTAATTGATCCTGGTAATCAGAGCGAGATAATTTTAAAACTGCTACCCAATATTACAGAACTCTTTTATTAAATTCTCGGTTATAAGTTTAAAAAGCGATCAACTTTCGATGTTTAGATTCCTAAAATTGGCTGATCAAGTAGTTATGTATCTAACCTATAAAATAAATTTGTTATCGTAACGATTCATTAGTCATACGATGATTCTGTAAGCAATTCACAGCGTCTAACTTAAACAAACGATATCAATCTTGTCTTCTTACTTAACTCCTTATATGTATGATCTATACTTAGCAACTTATATTGTGAAAATCACTTTATGCTCTAATCCCATTGTACAGTAAAAATCTCCTTATATAGAAGTAAGCTATTCTCATTACTCATTAGCGTTTATGAATATTTTCCTTCGTTTTGCTTCCTACATTATAATAGCTATACTTATGCATTTGTCTTGTTAGTTAGTTCCGCCATATACACGATAAGCTTGCGCACTTTACCTATTTCACTTTACTATAGCTATTTGATTAGTTCACGTCCTTATATACGCTGTAACCTTATATAGTTTTCTTCAGATCTGTACTGCCAGGACTTTTATTACTAACTGTTGCTGCTTCTGTAGGCTACTGTCTAATAAAAGTCCAGGTAACTACAACTATTATAGTTGTTGTTCGCGGCCAATTTCCGGCAGGTATATCTATTACTGTAACGAGTTTTTATTTGTGATTATACATCACGGCTCGTAGCTTTTACAGAGAAGCTCACAGCTATGTACCTATTCTCTTACACTCACTCCCTGCCTTAAATAAATAGAATTAAATAATGACCTGCTTATCCCTAACGATTTACTTTAGACCTATCATAGACCTTTTACCTTTACTCTAACTTATTATACTGATATCTCAACTAGTGCTGTAATAGGTAAGAACAGCGTGTACAATAATATGCAGCTATCTCATACCTCAATACCGTATTACGTATATCACTAGTAAATGTATAATGAAAGATCTATAACTACATCTAAACTACCATCAGTACCGTATCTAACAATTATTACTATTACATTTCAGATAGTAGCTCTAGGTAGTTTAAACTGTCTAGAACTGTTAAGGCTTTAAAATTAGATTATACCTTTACGAGCATAGTTATATAATTATATAAATTTCTAATATCCATGACTGATATATACTTACTTTATATCGTATATTTTACATAACAGCTAGTGCACCTAGACGTATATGAATACCCCGCTTAGAATCAATTATATGAAAGTGTGCTCCTTGCATGCTTTATTTAAGTCGTTGTTTCGTCGCGGACGACTGTGTACAATAAATTTGCGCGCACCTTTGTTAACCCTTGCTACAGTAGACTGCAATGAATTGTAGGTTATGCGAAATGCCGAATCTCGACTAATTGTAAATACTACTGATAAATATACAATATTCTTGCTTCATCAAAGTTGCAGTTCATCGTCCTAGTTTCATTACGTGCCAGTAAAAGTATTCAGTTTGGCATCAAGCATTATGCTCTTATTATAAGCGTATTCAATTGAACCAGTTGTTACTACTCGTATTATCAAATTTAAGGTAACTGCATATAAGGTGAACCCATTAAAAGCAAATTGCTCCAATCATTTTTCTCCCTTCCACGACTATCCTTGGCCTTGGACATTGTAGTTAAGATAGCTTACTGGCTAAAAATTGGTTATTTACTCATTTTATTTAACATTTTTAGCCAGTAAATGATATAGCAAAATGCGAGGTACAACTAACAGTAGTAGTGCTTTATCTTGTTAATGTTAATAGCCGCATGGTTGGTTTAGTAAGGTGATTACCGCGACAACTTAATAGCTGCCATACTTGTGTTTAACATTCTTTGTTAGTATGCCATCTACTGAAATAGCAAAGCCGATCAATGAGCAGAAGATATGCGTACTTTAGAAATGGCAATTAAAATAGGTAGTGAGGATCTCGTCTATCAACTGCGAACTAATAAGATGTCATTTAATGGCAAATTTATCTACGCAATGAGTATACTGACACTCTTTTGTC